GCCCCTGTATTAGGCGTGGGGCAAGGATGATGAAGGGCGGGGCCCAAAGAGGCTGAAGGACCTAGGCTGGAGAGCGAAATAGTTACCAATACTATTCCCTGGGCATCAAAATAGCCCTAAAGCATTATATAAGGAAAATACTACCCAAAAAAGGTTAAAGGTTGCCTACTCTACTACCAGGAAGCGATTACCAATAAAATTCCTCGGGGTTCCTCATTACGGTCACACTGTAACAGGGCGCACAACCCTATTCTAGTTACTGAGGCCCCTAGACTATGTACGGTCCGATAAAGGGGAACTTCATACCCGGAAGGCTAGATCCTGTAGTCAAGCCAAAGGGCTTCTGCAGCTGTCAGCGTGACCCCTTGGCTCATGGCAGTCATCGACAGCAGAGCAACATGGCAGTCCTCACCACTTCAGCACTTGGGTTCAGATTCTGAGGTCTCGTTCAACCTATACCCATATAATTAGGCTCCATAGCTCCTTTTTGGGGTTGCCTTATGGGATTCTAGATGTGAACACCAAAAAGGAACTACCATGGAGCCTTTAGGAAAGTCCGAAAACCCTAAAGGGGTCAGGGCAAGGACCTGCCTTGACTGGTGATTTCATCCCTTAACATTAAAACCCAGAGACTGCAATAGCCCTTAATTACAGTATATATCTTAAATCATATGAACTAGAACTTAAGGTATATTCCGTAATTAAGGGATATTGGAGCCTCTGGGAACCTGAACCCTCAAAGCTAAGACCTTAGCCCGAAACCCAAACCTAAGAGCAAAACCCTTCGCCCCAAACATTATGACTGCCCTGCACCAGAAACACCACACCCCAAGAAAACCCTACCTCAACCCAGCCAAACCGACTCTTTGTAGGTTCTAGTTAAACAACCCCTTATAGAAAGTCATAGAGACCCTAACAACAGGTTTTGGTAAATTAAGGTATACCCTCAGCTTCAACCCTGAACCCCGACCCTGCGGTTTAAGATTTCGAGTTTAGGCTTTGGCTCATAAGGGCTTACGGGAGCATCTGAAGGGGCTCTGTTATAGGACTATCTTCAAGGAACTCAGGCCATGCCATCAGTCTAATCAGAGGTATATCACAAACCAAAGCGCTTTCCTTATTGTGACTGCGAGTGGTAAGTTCATGGTATTATTGTATGGGTGGAATGCCAACTGCCATGAAAACCCTAAACCCCTAAGCCCCTACATCCTTGAACTTAAAAGCCCTAAACCTCCGAACCCTCCGAACCCCTAAATCGCTAGGTTCCCGGAGTAGCCCCTTGATGATAAAGGTACCCTTTTCCCAATATTCAGCTTTAACACAAAGGGTACTACGCAAAAACCTAGTAGACCCTAAAAACCTATGCTTTGATTAAAGCTGCGAGCTGAAGCCAACCATCTGTGACGACGAGGTCCCCCCTTGACTTCTGTTCTAGGAAACCACTTTATGAAGAAAGCTATGGATTATGCTGAACACCTCCGGCCTCTTGGCTTTCTCCTCTGCCATGACGTGGAGCATCGGCAGCTTCGGAGGCTTCTTGTCATTGGAGTACCAGAACTTTCTGGAGGACTCAATCTCATTAGAGGAAGACCAGTGACGGCTGCTGTCATACAGCACGTCTCCCGGGGAGATGTCCCAATCAGGAAGGCCGGCCTCCCCGCCATGAACGGAGTCGGAGTGCGACTCAGCCATGGCTGTTCGATGAAATTCATGGGCTGGGTTTGCGAGGTCGATCGCGACCACGAGCTTGGGAAGGGCTGAATGCCCCAAGCGGCGGTGGTCTTCTTGCTCTTGGAGGGCCACCTTTAAGGATCCCTTATAGAGCCCTTATAAGGAACCCTTTAAAACACTTAGTTGCTAAGTTCATACGCCCCCCAAAGTGTACACTTTTAGTTTTATAGCGGGTATTATTATCCCAAAAAGTGTAAAGTGTATCCACTCAGCTACTAAGAGGTTGGTCCTTCATGAGACACAGGTAATTATTTGGGCCCCTATACTATAGAACCCTACTATAGATCCCTTTAAGGAACTACCCCGGAACCTTCAAGTCCAGAGCAAGCCCTTGCAAGCCTCGTCCGTCTGAAACTGCTCGACTAACTCGGGCCGCTCCTCCGGGGTTTTTAGAGAGCTTGGGGTTTAGGATTTGAGGTTTAGGGCTTATAGGCTTTTAGGAGCTTAGGGTTTGGTTTAGGGCTTGGGGTTTAGGTTGAGGTTTTCAGGGATTTAGAGTTGGGGGCTTAGGTTCTGTCTTTTGATGTTGGGTTGGCACCTTAGGGTTTAGGACTTGGGGTTCATAGGGATTTGGGGTTCAGGTGTTTCGGGCTTGTGGTTCAGGTTTTAGGATTCAACAATTAGATTTTTGTTGGGCCTTGTTTTCAAGGTTCCTTTCAGCGTTCCGATAAGGGCTCTGATTTTTTATCTTGCTTCATTATCTTGCTTCAAGCTTGTTGTTTTCCACTTGAAGGATCGACGTTCTGCCCACAACCGGCTTTGCTCAGTGCCCAGGCATAAGGTTTCCAGTTTTTGAGTTTGCCCCAAACCTACTTGCTCAGTTTCCAGGCCGTCTAAGGATAAACCCAAACATTACAAAACGCAACCCTGAACCTTCTAGTAGACCATATCGTAACCCGTGAGACAACCCCGCCCGTCAGGTGTTGTAAGGGTCTCGGCAGTTTGGGTTGGGCTGCTTGGATTTCGGCTTCTCGCGGACCCCTAACCCTAAACCGTTTAAAGAGTGGTTTTTCCGAACACACCTGGCTTCACATTGCGCAAGAAAGTTGTCCGAACATGCTGAACCCAAACCAAAGGACCTACATCCAGAACCAAAAACACTAAACCCTGTGTTATGAAGTATCCTGAATCAGGCTGCCCTTTACGGATCCTCGATGTGCCAGTGGCATATGCTTTGGTGGTTGCACAGATTTAGTATAGGGCTGTAGGGTTCAGGGTTTAGTGTTTCCGGTGGTGGGTGAGAGCTTAGGCGAAAGAGTTCCCAATTTAGAACTCCCAGTCACCATTCTTGGGCTCCACAATGACGGTCAATCCTTCTGATTGGTGCTGCCGTCGATCCGGATGTATCTTCCTGCGGACACCAGAAAAGCTTTACATAGGTTTCCGGTAATTACCAAGGAGTTGTGGAGATTCGAGGGTCTAGGGTACTGTACTTGGATATCCGAAACATGCGGGACCGCGCTCCAGAACACACTGGCGTCGTACGCCGAGTCTTGGACTTCTCGGACAAACCTATAGTCTCCATCGTAGGTCTGTTTTGTTCGAAAAAGAAAACACAAAAAGGAACTACAAAGCAGAATGTCGAAAGACACAGTCTCTCTCTCTCTCTCTTTGAAACAGCCTGTCTCTCGCTCTCGCTCTCTCTCGCTCTGTCCCTCTCTCTCTCTCTCTCTTCTTCTCTCTCGCTCTTCCTGTCTTTCGGCTGCACGAATGCACCCATTCAACTGCCAAACATAACGTTGACATGGCTCTGCTGCTTAATCTCGAGAAATTTGAAACCGTGGTAAAAAAACAAAAAACTTCTCCTACGCACGCCCTAAACCCAACCCGTGAAACCCAAGATTTCTCTACATCCTCAATCCCTGAAGCTGTAAAGCCCGAAATCAGAAAACCGAAATCTCCCAAAGCATTATAAAGGCGGGATAATGTAAGTTCAGCTGGCTTAGGGTAGGCCGTCAGGCAGAGGTTGGACCATCGAGTGCGCAGAGGCCATGACGGCAAAAACCCATAAAACTTTTATAGCACCCTAAGTAACATATAAAGCCGCATCTTGAAATCCTGCTGATACCCTATGTAGCACCCCAATGAACATATCATAATCACTAAAGCAAACTCAAATGTATGAACAATTCTCTAAATGCCAATTTCAGGCCCCCAAATTTAGTACAGACCCTTTTGAACCCCACAGCTATCCATGTACCCCTCAGCACCAAACCCTAATAAGATCCAATGTGTACCCTCCTTCATGCAACCATAAAAACCTAAGCCCTAAACCCCTATAGACCCCCAAACCCTAAGCCCTTTAAGGACCCTTTAAAAGAAACCCAACTACCCGTATTTCCCCCTTTCATGCCGCTTTCAGCATGCATCGTCTCCTCGGAGCCGATCCTGCAAGGCGCTCTCGAGAGCATCCATCATCCTGATTCTCAAAGGCTCCATGTACCCATACTTGGAGGTTCATTGGTAATATTATAATAAGTGGGGTTATAAGCCCCCCATTATTTGGGATATAACTATAATAGTTACCGTACTTATGGCCCCACTGAAACCTCCCCATGAACCTCCAGGTGTGGTAGATAAGCCTTAAAGGGGTCCCTATATAGGCACTTTAAGGCCTAAGTATGTACTATATGGGTACATGGGGCCTTTGGGAATAGGCCTTACCTAGACCCGCCAGCCACTTTAGGCATGAGGGGTTTAATTGAGGTTTGGTTTTAATTTCAGATCGCCTTTGCCTACTTGGAGGTGCATGGGTAGTTACATATAGGTTATAAGTCCCTAATGTTGGATATACCTGTAGCTACCTTACTTATAACCGCCCGGACAAAAACACAAATGAACCTCTAAGTAGGGCTTAGGGGGGTTCAGGGTGCAAGGTTTAGGGTTTCTTGGTTTGGGAGTCCAGGCTTTGGGGCTGAGGGTTTAAGGATTACGGCTTTAGGGCCTGAGGCTTAGGGTCGTAATAGTTAGAATAGTTTTGCATTTGGTGACTTTACACGGCTGCGTGATGCAGCGTCTGGATTCTTTATCAGGGTCTGTCTCAAACTCCCGTTGTTGCTGGGTTGTAACGGCCCACAAAGGGAACCCTGGTAATTATGCCGAGCCGGGTTTTGAGATATCACATCATATATCGAACTGCACTGCTAGAAGCGTACCCCAAATCCTAAACCCTAAATATTGTCGGGTTGAGCATGTAGGGTTTGCTTGGCCGAGGCTCAGGATTGCCCAGATAGCCCAATACGACTTAACTATGAAATATACCTTCGATTCTATTCCACGGAGGCAGCGAAACATGTGGCGAATCTGGCAAAGCCAATCCATGCTGACGTGGTTGCACTCGGAAGCACGAAAGCGCCCAGGGAGAAGGGTGTAACGAAGTGAAACGCAAGCAAACCAGGTGCACGACAGGCTGTGTTAATGGCATCCCCGGTGTCGGTCGCCTCGCCTGCCCGGATGTACTTGTACGTGTTCTTCCGCAGCTCAGCCTCATACTGTAGCACAAGGCTCCACTTGGGGGCCCGACCATCCTCTGCACGCAAGATTGCAACTTTATCACCCAACACATGATCAGATAACCTGCGAAAGCTGTCCACCACAGACTCGCGGAGCCAAGCCCGAGTCGTGTGCTTCGTGCGGACCATGAGCCACGCCAACCCAATCCGTCGATGACGGAGCCTCAGCTCCTCAGGACTGCCAGGCGGGGTGGTCATGGTGCCCCCTGGCTTGAAGCGAAGGCAAGAAGACGAAGGATCGATGACGGCTGCATAGGACTCAACCTCGGCGTCCTCAGCACTGGTGACATCCCGTAGGTCTTCCACATGTGGCGCATTGTCCTCTACTTGTTCCAACTTCTGCGCCAACAAGGACTTGGAAGGTAGCTCCTTATCGCCTAGCACGCCATGGCCACTTTCCACTGCCTCCCGCATGGCTGCGTACTCGGTCACTTGAACCGCACGATCTTGAACGCCCAGCTTTGCCTCAACACGGTTCTTGTCGTTGACAGAGATTTGTCGCCGGCAAGCTTCCCACGCTGTCAACAACAACGCCATACTTACACGGGCTTCTGCCCCCGTGCTGCAGTCCAGGGGAAGTTCTGTCGCCAAGGCCTCCCGTACCTCCGTCCGGGTTTCATCAATCCCGGCGAAGATGTGCAAGGAGATGAAGCCTTCCTGAGCAACTTGACTTGCAGGCCACTGGCACCCCAACATCGTCCATGATGTAGCGCAGCGGTGACTCCGCGGAAGCAAGGATCTGGTCGTCGGTGCGGGCATCCGTCATGGCGGGATCACCAAGCAGGGCCCCCGCAGCAACTAAGAACAAAACGACAAGAACTCCTCCCCGGCACATAACTTCTGCCGAAGGAACAATTTCTCACAAGCCAGACCGGCCGGTGATGTTTTCACTAGCCTGACCGGCCGGTGATAAAGATGCTTTCACGAGCCTCACTAGCCTGACCGGCCGGTGATAAAGATGCTTTCACGAGCCTCACTAGCCAGACGGGCCGGTGATTTGACGGAGACGGTCCCACTAGCCATACCGGCCGGTGAAAGAAATGCAAGCAAGACCTACCCGGCCCTGCCCTTGCAAAATTAACCAAGGCAAAGTTCCTGCAATCACAGAGGTGGCGCGGGTCAGGATGCTCGTGCCCGCCCCCACTCGGCACCGCGGCTGGTGGGGCTACTGGGAGAACGACCACCGCCGCATGCACATCGTGAGCGACTTCGAGGCGCTCCTCCTGCCTACCCCAGTCCAGACAGCCAGTGGACATTGCAGGAGACAAGGTAGAGTTCGGCCTTTATGGTTACGACCTGGGCACACAGACCCTCGGCTTCGAGAGCGGGACGCGATGTGCCCTGGGAGAGGTGTACGCAATCCATTGCGTGATTTGATCCGATCCGGAACGCAGCGCCCCGACGGACAGCGCAAAAAGTCTTCGTGTGCAGTTGACGGAGAGCCTGCTCCCTCCCCGCCCCCCTTGCTCCTGTCCCCGCCCAGGTCCGGACCCTCTTCACTTCGCGTCGCGCTCGCAAAACCGGAGCCCTGCAAGACAAAACGACCCCACTCGCCTCGCAAGTAGGAAGCACAGGGCAACGTGAAGCACAGGATTCTCTCTAGCTCAGACCGAGCCAAAGATGTGTCGCTATCACGCAAAGACGCCTGCACAAACAACTGTAGGACAAGCAGGAGTAGAAGTCACTCTGGCACATCATCAATGACCGCACAAGCAGTAAACCCACAGCTAAATCACCGCAGGATTCTTAACCACGTCCAAGACGCAATGAAACAAGAATGGAGCCAGACTCTGCTACGGCTACGAGGCTTCGGACTCACTGCTGGAAGATTCGTCCTCATCGCTGCCGCTGGCGTCTGACGCCCCATGCGTGGGATTCTGCGGCTGCTCGCCATTGCGCCAGCAGTGCTTGCAGGCGACATCATATTCAGCATCCTGCAGCTCGTAGACGAGCACCATTTCGTGCAGGTCGTCAGGATCGGCCTTCCATCAAACGACGCAGTCTTCGCTTGCCAACCACAGCAATGTAGAAAGGAGGATTGTCAGCTTCTTCGTTCAGATCCGCGACTGCAACCATTTCCATCAACTTGCTGTCAACCATGTATGGAGGTGGTGCGCTGTCAAGTTTTCATTGCCTTGCTCAGCTAACTCTAGACCTAAACGAAGTCCAGCATCTGGACCCGACTGCAATAAAGCCACCTGGGCTGATGTAGCTACACATTCCACACCACGATCCTTAAGGAAGACCGCCAAGTCACACAGACAGCCGTTGACCAAATCGCAGCGTGCGTCTTTGCGCACTCCTTCCAATGCCGCCTTTTGCAGAGTAATTACTGCATGCTGCGCTGCACGGACATACTCGTCCGAGACCGTGACAATCCGCCGACGTCCAACAAAATCGCGCTTTTCGGGCGGTACTCCCAAGCTGGCCAAGACGGAAACAAGCCAATGTCTTTCAGAATGCTCGGTCCAGAAGGCTAGAGCTCCCGCTTCCTCAAAGAGATTCTTGTCCGACTGTCGCCAGCAAACACCATCCCAGACAGGCTGCTTCAGATGCTTCAGCAAACGCTTCGAGAAAGACATCGTGCTCGCATAATCCGACATGCGGTGGATTGCTGCCGAGGCATCTGCATTTGGAAGGGGCAAAAAGTAATCCCGCTCAAACCACATTTCCGCAGAAGTCCAGATCGACCACCCCATCGATAACCACTCAGCATTCATGAAGTAAACGCGGTTGCTGATGAAAATCGGAAGGAATCGGACACGCTTCCCTGGCCCACTTGTTTTCATGCGGTCGAGCAAACCTGATGATCCATGTTCTGTCATACGAAGTGACGCGGGAGCGAGGCCGGCCAGGTCGAAAAACGACTTGCAGCCCAGAGTTTTACCAGCTTATAAAACGCAAAGGCTCGTGCATACACAGGCAAAGATGTATCGCTGACAGCAAGCTCAATCGCCCCAATCAGTGACACCGGAAGCATGGGCGCCTTTCGTGAAGGAGGAGCCTTGGCCTCCAGATCTGCAGTGAGCTGGTTGACGGTGTTGCGCAAAGTAGGCAGCGTCGAGAAACGTTCCTGCGGTCGCACTCCTCCAGCCTTTTGCATGAAGGACAAATAACACGCGAGAGTGGCTTGCGGAACAGTTCCGTGCACAGGGCTCCAAATCGCGCTCAACGGCGCTCATGCAAGTAGTCACAAGCAGGACTCCAACATGTTGTGGCCACACACGACCCGTCGCCGACAAGCAGAAAAGTCTCAATTTCCTCCACTCGCGAACATGCTTGCGCACCGTTGAAGCCCGAGCAGAACCCAAAGCTGCCAAAAGCAAGGCCTCCGGAAACCGCACAAGCTCCATGTGCTCCACGATCGGAAGACCCGCCTCTGTCACCAGGATGGCAAGTTCACCCTGCCAACGCTGGAGCTCCTGCTTTTCGATTTCTTGCCGATACGTAGAACGAGAGGCTGATGCAAGACGCTTCGCCAACCTATGACGCCAGCGCCTACGTTGAATGGCACCAGAACGTTTTCCCAGCCACTCCTTGGAGAACTTTAAGACGGTCTCGCCAGTACAAGGACGATTTGAACCAGAAGACATCGCCACTGCCATGTGCTTTGCAGAATCCGGATACAAGGCCCTTCGCTTGTGCCCACGATTTGCTTGTGCTGAAGCAGGCGCAACTAAAATGCGCAACACACGCTGTGACTGACGAAGACTTGCGCCAGAAGGGCAATTGGCTGTCGTAAACGACTCCAAATCCGCCTGGTCAGTGAAGAAGTTGGCCAGCACATTAGCTACAGGGACATCACCGATGCCAAACGCCTTTCGCAAGCGCAGAGGTAAGCGTGACCACAAGGAGGCACTGTCGGCACGCGAGACATCTTCCGTATCTGACTCGGACTCCGGCTCCGTTGCTCCATCCTCTTCTTCCATGGCAAGAACAGAAAATCTGGAGCACACCGGATGTGAGACACGCTTCTGCCGCTCTACCCACAACTCGAGCAGCAACGAATAAAACGGCTGCACATGGAGACATGTCAAGCTCATGCCATCAACTGCACAACCTGCACGCAACAAGCAAAACTCATTGCACACACACACACACACGCACACACACACACACTCGCCAGTAGCACTGGTGGCACAAGCAACAAACCATTACGCATTTGCCTGCTCCCGAATTCCACTTCGATGCACTCTTCGTGTGCTCCCCGCTTAAATAAGGGGGACTGGGCTCTCTGGATGGCAGCTCACAGATCAGGGTTTACGTAAGCTTGGAAACTTCGAGCCACTGCTCCGAAGAGTGGTAGGGGCTTGAATGGTTCGAAGAGGGTGTTGGCATAGGTTATCGTTGAACCATACCCTAAGGGTCCATGTACCCATATAGAGATACATGAGCCCCAAAGTACCTATATAGGGACTACATTAAGGCCAATGTATATACTATATGAGTACATGGACCCTTACAATTACTAACAATCAACAATTCTAGGATTAAGGACGAGCAATCGAAAATGATCCAGGTCCCTGTAGCTCATGATGGCCTTTGACAGACCCTTGCAATTTGGCGCTCCAGGTGGTTTGAGATAATAGTTGCCTAACATACCCTAAACTCTCTAAACCCCTAGGGCTTGCTTATGTACCATTTACTTGGAGGTTCATGGGTAGTTACGTGTGGTTTGTTTAAGTCGTGTAACTATAAGTAAGACTCATATTGGGGCCCCACGTCTAACTCAATTTGTAAATGTCCATGAACCTCCAGGTATGAAGCACCACAAAGTTCTCTTTCAAAGCCCTTTAAACCTCAATCACCGTTTATAACCCTACCCCGATATCAAGGAACTTCTGAACCAGAAACAAGAACAAAACTCCAAATGAAACCCTCTAATTACATCCTATGGCAGCTGGCACTTGCTTTTATAAACACGTACCGTGTTTACACAGACTGAAAACACAAACGGAAGCAAGCAGTTGTGCGAAAAAAGTAAAAATGCATGCATGAACGCATGCATACACACAGACACTGATCAATCAGCCAAGAAATGCTTTCTGGTAGCTTGTATAAATATAACATATATATATACACACAGTTAGCAATACTAACTTAACTATAATAGTAATAATGAAAGCAAAAAACAGCAGTAGCGATACGACTACCAATTACAATAAAAACAATACATATATGCCAGAACGAACGGGCGAGCTGCGCCCGGTGGTGCGCAAACAGCCTCAGCTTTAGATGTAGGTTTACAAAGTCTAGGGTTATGAGTTAGGGCTTAGGGTTCAGGGTTTTGAGGCTTAGGGTGTTTTAGTTTGGGGTTTCGGTTTAGGTGCCTTCCTCGTTGAATTGAGATTCTATGCTGGGAGTTGTAAGATGCTTACGGGTTTCGATCACATTTGGTAGACTATAAGCGAACTATATACAGACTCCAGGACTACAACAGGAAGATTTTCACAAAAGCCCATTAGACCTCTATGTTACAACGGACGGATGTGCCCTCCTGCAGAAGATTTTGGTTATGGGCTTAGGGCTTCAAGGCTTATCAAGCTGAGGGTTTAGCAGTTTTGGATTTTTGAAGTTTGCGAAGAACATTTTCGGATTTCTTTGGGATGGGGGTGGGGAAGCAAAACTCGTATGTCCGAATGACACAGTGGTGTCAAAGAGTGAAACCCGTGAAGCATTGACCAGGGCCTCTCACAACTCGAAGGTACTATCGGGTCCTTAGTAAGTAGAACAGGTCTTTGGGGCCCATTATACTATAGTTATAAGTTATAACAGGGAACCCAAAAAATAGTATTACTAATTATTCAATCCCCTATAGTAAAAGACAGCATCCTTTGAGCTCCTTCTCCCAAAATTGCAGTAATTTGTGTCCCAACAGTCTCTTCTATTGATTCAGGACGCAAATTTCGAGCGCCAAAACTCTGCATTTCCAATGCCTTAATATAAGGAGTTCTTAACAAGAAGACCGAAACACGTCGGCTGCTTAGGGTCCAGGAACCCGACATTTGGATACTCCGACCTTCCAACACTGCATATAATTACCTGAGCAATAATTGTTTTTGTACCTTATCTATAACAGGATCCCGATTACGATTTAGGGTATATTGCTGAATTTAGGAATTTCGGAATGTCTGGGTACTCCGACCATCCATAAAACCACTGCCGTCCGGGGGACAGGAACTTGCCGATGCCGTTGTCCAGGAGATCCTTGACGTAGTCACAGCAGCACCTCCCGAGACTCCAACCCCAGACCCTCGGGAGGATCCAAAAAGTAGATCCCTCAAAGGGGGTTCCTGTAAAGTACCCTTAGTAGTATAGGGCCCCAAATTAGGGGATCTACTTTCTAGATCCTCCGAGAGACTCCAACCCTGGCGGTTTCAGGTTTAGGGGGTTTAGGGGCTCAGGATTTAAGGCTTGGGGTTTACGGTTTAGGGTATGTTACATAGTGTGGTATATGATACTATACTATAGTGTATCTCAGTATACCAGAGTATTAGGGGTTTCTATACTGAACTTAGAACCCTAGCAAAAATTGTAATTATAGCTGCTTCTTCTTAGGGATTGTAATAACCAAAAGCTAAAAAAATATTTCTAAGTACCCCTAAGGTTTCGGGGTTTCGGGGTTTGAGGTTTAGGGCGAGTGGAGGCCGAAGCTGCCACGCCGACGATTAATATAGGGGGGCCTTAGGGGTTCCTTTGATCTACAAAAGGGATATTATAAGGGATACTATAATTAAGGGTAGTATAGTATAGGGGCCTTACTAACTAGAATAGGGCTTTGGGGGCCCATTATACTATCGCAAAAATAAGGAGCCGATACTATAATTAAGGGTAGTATATAGTATAGGGGCTCTAATCACTAGAAAAGGGCTTTGGGGGCAAATTATACTAAAGTTACAACAAAGAGCCCGCCAAAAAAATGGTGCAGGTAATTATGAAGGCCCCTATATCATAGAACCCTGCTATAGATCCCTTAAAGACCCCTTTGAGGAATCCTTCAAAGGAACCCCCCCAAAAAAAAACAAAAAAAAACAGTATAGGCAATCATTACTTAAAGGATCATAAGACTTCGTACTTAGGGTTATAAGTAAGGTAACTACAGTTATAATTACATCTAACCTTAATTAAGGTACTCATAACCCCACTTATAACTCCTCATGAGCCTCCAAGTAAACCCTAAACCCTATACCCTTATAGAATCCCTATAGATCCCTTTAAAGGGACCCTAATTGGGGTTATGGTACTTAGCTACGAAGT